TCCCTTTTTGAGGTGAGATAAATAATATATAGTTGCCTTTTGTTGTAGCCTAATTATTTATATTGTTTGAATTATACTCCCTAACATGTTGGTACTTAAGTTAATAATTTGCAATTGCCAAAACAATTAAATTCTTTATCCTAAAACAACATCGTTTATAAATCATGCTAATAATTTAACAATATAATTTGATTTTTTTAACGTTTAGGTTCAGGGGTACATGTGCAGGTTTGTTTTATAGGTAAAATCATGTCACAGGGGTTTATTGTACATATTATTTTATTACCCAGGTATTAAGACTAGTACTAAATAGTTATGTTTTTCCGATTCTGCCCCTCCTCCCACCCTCCACCCTCAAGTAGGCACCAGTGTCTGTCGTTCTCTATGTGTACATGTGTTCTCATTATTTAGCTCCCAAAGTGAGAACATGCGGTATTTGGTTTTCTGTTACTCCATTAGTTTGTTAAGGACAACAGCCTCTAGCTTCATCCATGTTCCTGCAATGGACATCATCTCATTCTTATTTTATAGCTGCATAGTATTTCATGGTGTACATGTATCACATTTTCTTTATCCATTCTACCATTGATGGGCATTTAGGTTGATTCCATGTCTTTGCTATTGTTAACAGTGCTGCCATGAACATATGCATGCATGTGTCTTTATGATAGAAAGATTTATATTCCACTGTATATATACACAGTGATGGGATTGCTGGGTTGACTGGTATTTCTGAATTGGTCGTTAAAGAATTACCATACTATCTTTCACAGTCATTGAACAATTTACACTCCCACCAGCGGTGTATAAGTGTTCCCTTTTCTCTACTAAGTTGTAGGCATCTATTATTTTTTGACTTTTTAATAGTAGCCATTCTGACTGGTATGAGATGGTATCTTATTGTGGTTTTAATTTACATTTCTCTAATGATTAGTGCTTATCAGAGGATGGAGGGTGGGAGGAGAGAAAAAAATAAGGAAATAATTAATGGGTACTAGGATTGATACCTTGGTGATGAAATAATCTTTACAGTAAACCTCCATTACACAAGTTTATGTACGTAACAAGCTTACACGTGTACTCCTGAATTTAAAATAAAATTTAAAAAACATAATATACCCTTTTAAATAAGATAAACTATTAATTCAAAGAGAAAATATTTGACAAATTATCAGAAATTTATTTGATGCTAAATGACAAAAGTAAAAGATAATACATTGTTGTGTTATTTTTATTTTTCCTTTCTAAATTGTGCTCTTTAATTTATAATTACAGTTTCTTTGGCCATTATTTGACACTTCAAATGGATAAGAAGTAAATTAAAACTGATAAATAAAACAAGAAAAGTGTCAGTTAATGTTCTTTGTCCACTTTTTAATAGGGTTGTTTGTTTTTTGTTAATTTAAGTTTCTCACAGATGCTGAATGTTAGACCTTTGTCAAATTCATAGTCTGCAAAAATTTCCTCCCTTTCTGTAAATTATCTGTTTACTCTGTTGATAGTTTCTCTTGCTGTGAAGAAGATCTCATATTTAATTAGTTTTTTGTTTGTTTGTTTGTTTTATTTTGTTGCAATTGCTTTTGGCATCTTTGTCATAAAATATTTGCCTTTTACTACATCCAGGATGGTATTTCCTAGGTTATCATCCAGAGTTTTCAATATTTGGGGGTTTTAAATGTAAGCATTTTATCCATCTTGAGTTGAGTTTTGTATATGGTATAAGGAAGGGGTCCACTTTTCATCTTCAGCCTGTGGGTGACCAGTTATCTCAGCACCATTTATTAAATAGTGAGTCCTTTTCCCATGGTTTGTTTTTGTCAGCTTTGTTGAAGATCAGATAGCTGTAGTTGTGCAGCACTATTTCTGAGCTTTCTGCCCAGTAGTCTACATGTCCGCATTGCACCATTCTGTTCCAATGGTCTATGTGTCTGCTGTTTCACCAGTACTTTGTTGTTTTGGATATTGTAGTACCGTCATATAATTTGAAGTGGGTAATGTGATGCCTCCAGTGTTGTTCTTTTTGCTTAGGATTGCCTTGGTTATTCAGGCTAATTTTGTCATTCCAGATGAATTTTAAAATAGTTTTCTTCTAGTTCTGTGAAGAATGTCATTGGGGTCATTCAATCCAAGATGACTGAATAGGAACAGCTCTGGAGTGCAGTTCCCAGTGAAAATGCAGAGGGTGAATGATCACTGCATTTCCAAATGAGTTTTTACTGCCCACAAACCAGGAGATTCCCAGGTGGAAAAGCACCATGAGTCTCCAGCAGGGCTATTTCAGCTGGCTCAGTGGATCTCCACACAAAAACTCATACAAATCTGGGTGACCATTTCAACTTGCACCTGGAACACCTGGGAGACAGAGTCATCCATTCAACTAAAAAAGTGGGGGCTGAAACAGGGAGCCAGATGATCTGGCTCAGCGGGTCCCCCCTCACAAAGACCAGCAATCTGAAACTCTCTGGATAGAGTTTGACAGCAAGCACAGCTGGACCTGGGATGGTCCAGCTCTGTGGGTGGAAGGGCATCTGATATTACCAAGCAGTCCACCACTAACAAGGCAGTCTGCCATTACTAAGGCAATCCACCATTACCAAGGCAGTCCACCATTACAGAGACAGTCTGCCATTACTGAGGCATACCACCATTACTGAGGCAGTTCTAACTATACCTCTATAAACAAAACCACAAGGAAGTTCATACAGCAGCTGGGCAGGGCCCACGGCAGCTCAGCAATGCCTCTGCTGGCAGACTGTGACTAGGCTACCTCCTCGCTGGGCAGGGCATCTCTGAAAAAGGGCAGCAGCACATCAGGAACTTATAAATAAAATCTCACCTTCCCAGGACAGAGCACCTGGGAAAAAAAGTTACCTGAGTAACTTTTTTTCTTACTTAAATGTACCTGCCCAGCAGTTCTGAATGGAACAATGGAGCTCACGGCTCAGTACTTGAGCTCCTATAAGGGACATACTGTCTCCTCAAGCAGCTCCTCAACCCCAGTATATCCAAAGAGACACCTCATAAAGGAGAGCTCAGGCTGACATCTGGCTGGTATCCTTCTGGGACAAAGATAAGAGAAGAAAAAACTGGCAGCAACCCTTACTGTTCTGCAGCCATGTCAGGTGGTCCCCAGGTGAGCAGAGCCTGGAGTGGACCTCCAGCAGTGGGACCTGACTGTTAGAAGGAAAACTAAAAAACAGAAAGAAATAAGTTCATTATCAACAAAAAGGATGTCCACACAGAGACCCAATCCAA